TTTTATCTTAATATTGTTTGGACAAAGTCACGGGCAACAGCTAGTCTAAAATAAAATTAGTTTGATGATACAATAAGAAAATAATAAAAAAGACCTAAATATAGTTTGACATCTGAAAACGTTTTATTGTTACACACATACGGATATATAGACATTGTCGCACTTAGTGAGTCAGTAGCCACTTCAAGTGCGATAGTATTCAAAATTAGTAACAAATTTAGCAAACGAGTAAAATACAATTTAGCGTATTTAACGTTAAAAATCAAGAAAACGAAGCATTTATTGTTTCGTGCGTGATTATAATAAATATTGAGGTTAGTTAATTCAGATTGGATCATCAATATCTTGTAACCTCATTTAAATGTTTTCTTATTTCAGAGACGTGACCTTTTGCAGAGAAACGTAGACACGCTAGATTATAAAGCTGAAGAAATCAAACTTGTATGTTATTTTGACTCATCTAATGAAATATCTATACTACCCCAAACATATAAAGCATAAACACACACTTCTTTGTTTCCTAAGATGTCAGCAATTACAGCACATTTTTGAATAATGATTTTTTTAATAAAAAGCCCTACACTTACGTAACGCTTTCGGCTATATATTTCACGCCATTAAACTTAATATATTTTGGATAAAAACCCTAATGTGGGAAATAAACTATAATTTGACAAATGTAATCAATAAAACAATTTTCATAATTTCATGCGAATAAAGCCGCACGGGAACAGCTAGTTGATAATATTAGTAAGATATAACTACTACATTTTGCAGTTAAGTGTACAGGAACGAACGTTAAACCAAAAAGGTAAATAAGGAAGAATAAAAGGGAAGCACAATTAATTAGTAAAATGTGGTTTGCAAAAACAGGAAACAGTTTCAAAACAGGATGTGACTCTAACTAATCGATAGTCCAAATACTAATGTACCAATCGATTGTAATTTTTTACTTATTTATTTATGGGAATTATCAAAATAACACAATACAGAACAAAGTTACAAACAAGAGCTCATATATTCTACTACCGAAACTCTTTGATCTTTAATATAAACAAATTATTTTATTTTAATTTCCAAAAATGGTCGTCTAACATTCCTGCATGCATCTTTTTACCAGCTTCCTTCTAATCAAAGTCCCGTCTAAATCGGTCCATCTGTTCCAGGGATTATTCCAGAATTAATAAAAATGTAGTATAATAAATATGCCCGTCTATGTCAGCTACCTTTCAGTGAAAGTACGGTCGAAATCGGCCCAGAAGTTTCGGAGATTACCCGGAACAAACGCGGCTTACGGACAGACAGACAAAATTTTTTTAAAATGCGATTTTCGTGATCAGCAACTCAAATACACCATCTTCCCGAAATCTGGAATTTTTCTTTTGATATAACAAACAGACACTCCAATCTATATCTATACTATTATAATAAAGCGTAAACACACGCTTCTTTGTTGCCTAAGATGTCAGCAATTACAGCATATTTTTATATAATTCTTTTTTAATAAAAAGCCTTACACTTGCGTCACGCTTTAGGCTATATATTTTAACGCCATTAAACTTAGGGGGTAAATATTTTGGATGAAACCCTAATATGGGAAAGACCATAAGTTGCTGCCAACTTCAAGGAAGCAAGGTTGTCATCATGTCATTTTGACATTTGCAATTGAGTATTTAACAGATGGAAACAATGAAATAAAGTTTTTATAATTTCATGCGGATGAAAAAGGACGAGAACAGCTAATTTTATTATATGTATGGATGATGTTTGTGAAATCGACAATGGAAACAACTTGATCTGATACCGTTATCGTACACAGATGACAACATTTTGATAAACACAAAGACAAAAGGCGTTTGATACGATGGTATACAATGCAACACAGCATTGTCTTGCTGGATCAACATTGTTACTATCCTAACCTTTGTGGCTCTATTCATCATATCTATACATTATAATCAGAAAAGTTTTCTATTTTTATATGTATTGTAATAATTCAAAAACTACTAGGCCGATTTTAAAAATTCCTTCATAGTTACAAAGCAGCATATCTGATTTTTTTCACGCAGACGAAGTCGCGAACAACAGCTGGTTTGTACTAATATGAAGAGGAAAGATTTTTATTTTTGTATTTAGTGAAATAAATAACTCAAAACTACAATATTATAGAATTTTTATTTCGCGCAGAAGTTGCGGGCGACGGCTAGTATTCTATGAACCTATACACAAATCTTCAATTTTCTATTAGCTATTAGAATTAAGAACTTGTCAAAAACTGTATAATTAACGTAAACCATAAATCAAGGTTGTCAGATGAGGATTTTGGTGAATTTAACCTCTGGTTTCACTGCCAGTAACATTTAATCTTCCGTGAATAAAAGCAAGAAAATGTTTTGTGCGCCTGTTTTTTTTAAACCAATGTGCAGCAGAATGGGTAATTTAGATCCACCGTGACCTAACAAGTGGGAGTCAAATTGTCCATCGTTGGTTTGTAAATTATAATACAACTACGCAATCTTGATACTTCTTTAAAAAAAATCAAAAGCTATTTGTAATTTTTTCGTCATTAACTAATGAATAAAAGTATATACGTAGTAAGTTAATCCAATAAGTCTAAATTTACAATCTCTGCCTATATGCGCAGGTACAAAACTTCCGCTGTGTTATAAATTAAAACGTTTCGATTAAATCGCCTTAAATGGTTACATTATTCGATTTTTTTACAAAGTACAGATATACAAGCAGTACATAGGTACTGTACTAAATTATAAATAGTTTGTTTACCTCGAAAATTCGATTAATCACAGTGAAAAAACAAACTTCAGTTCACTTAGAAACACATCACATTTTGTCTCAAAATAGACTAAAGAAATATTATCTATTCATAAAGTATACAAAATATTTAAAACTTGAAAATAAAATGTTTATTAACGTAAGCACGAATAAGTTCGGACTATTTTTTTATTAAAAGAGATAAACACGTTCTCAATCACCCGAGCTCACGAAGAGACTAGCGCCGTCGCGCTATTGGACTTGTGCGGTTACTCATTGAATCATTCAACCTTAACAAATTAGATACGTCACCATCACAAAGGAACATTGAGGAAATAAGCTGTCAATCGAATATGGTCAGGTTACCAATTGTTAAAGCGATGACCCATAATAATTAACAAAGGCGAAAGCATTGTTTTGGAACCGGTAAACTTTAATACTCAAAGTGCTGGTTAACTTAGAAGCCTGATAGACCTGGGCTTCTCGATATTCAGTCAGACTGGCAGTCTACCTACCCACATATTACCCAATGTTTTATGGTCAACGTATGTTTCCACTACATAAGCCGCTTTCTTTGGAGAGCCTTGACCCTTGGTAGATAGATAAAAATTAGATTTACTATTGCTGATCTAACGATGCGGTGATCTGGTCAAGTTTATGGGAATGTAGTAAGTTGATCTTCATGCTTATTAGAGAGGGTCCAGCCGTGGATTATCAGTGAGTAATTTATAAATCGTTGTCAGTTTTTTGCAACTATCAAATCAAATGCAACCTTGAAAGTATTCGCAGATCATTGCGACGTCCAATAGCAGTGGATAAGCGGCACAATTTATCTTGCATGTCACCCAATTTTAAGTACTCAAAATAAGAATATTTCGAGTAATTAAAATTTAATATTTACAAATTCATAACGTCACTTTTCTCAGACTAAATTATATTTTAAATTCTTTTATGTCCTATGCCTCTCACCGGGTAAAAAAATTAAGTTTAAAAAGCCCGCTCATTATTCCATCGAACCAGAGACAAAAGCACAATGATATAACTTAATACAGCGCCATCTATTAAAAGTTCCTGGTGTTAAATAGTTTTGAAACAGAGGTCGCTGCTCGTGTGGAAAGACCACTATCGCATTCCAAGATGTAAACCGTTATACCACTAAATTGTCTCTTAGAAATATCATTAACATATTTACCTGCTGCTTTATATGAATAGGGTCTTTGAACATACGACTAGAGGTGCAATAACACCATAATAATACTAACTTGATCGAATAATAATAAGACCGGAAATGGGGTGTCTACCCTAGGTTGGCTCCCCCAGTTACAGCCCTCTTGATCGGTTATAAATTTAAGACGCACAATGGTAATTGAATTCCTTTAAGATTTTACGTAACAATGGCTTGGCAACTGTAAACAAGAGGAATCTTTGACCTCGTAAGCTTTCTGCAGAACACATTGCGGAGTTGTCTAATATCAATAATTTTAGGAAAATATGTAACAGCGACGTTCAGATCGAACGCGTCAGTGTTGCGCAACATATTTTTATAGCGCTATCTTTAAAATTGTAATTCTCGTGTGCAACTCATGCTTTATCAGTACAAGCGACTACTCGGGGACAAATAAATAAGCTAAGAAACAAAATAACGTTTTTTACTTAAAATCGGTTGTATTTACATTTATTTTGTCAAATGTAGAAAATCAAGTGTTTATCACAAATAAATAAATCGTTCTAAGGTTCACATTTGACGTACACAATATGAAAACAGCTCATTCTTACCACAAACGAAAGGCGGGACGATAGGTTTAATTCATAAGATAATTAAATTTCATTTTTCTTTTATTTTTATGTCAATTCATGCTAATAAAAACAGTTCTGCTCCCTTCGATGCGCGAGCGGCAGCGAAGCATTCTCGTCTAAATGTTCGAATAACCCCGCAGTCTATGCTTGCTGAAAAAAAATATGACGTGGCTCGACTATTGTGATGCAGGCCGCCGACGTCAGCCCGCGTCGCGGTCCAACGCGCGGTGGCACGGCCGTCGCCGTTCGACAGACTTCGGCCGCGCGGCAATGGACACCGCGAAGTCGGTTATTTTCCACGCGCGGGAACGCGTCGCCGAGCCGCGGTACGAGGGGCGACGGACGCCGGCGGGGGCGGGGCGGGGGGCGCCGGCGGCAAATCGAAAGAGGCCACGCGCGCGCGCGAGGGGGGCGCAGCGACGCGTACCCCTCCACTCCGCCCGCCGCCGCCATAGTCGACTTCCCGGGCGTCGCTTCATAAAATAACGTACCACCTACTTACTAGATCACTTTTTAACCTAGGAATCTCTTAGTCCACACCTCGAAATTGGAATACCGAACTGAAGGTTCTATCCTAATTAACAATATGGACAAAGTTACGGGCCGGTTAGGTGTTGGGTGTCGCGCCGCGCCGCGCCAACCGTCACGCTATTTATCAGCGGCGGGGTGGCGGGCGCGCGCAGCGTCATAATGTAGCAAAATTGTGATGTTTTTCTATCAAATGTTGTCGCGTGAAGTGTACCGCGCGCTCGGCAGACGACGCGCCGGCTTCCAACTGCCGACCCACTTCAACTTTACAAATTCACAGATTCGATAATAATCGCTTCGCGGCGGGAATTCGTCCCCGCCGGCGACAGACACAATTAGGGCGCGAAGGTGCCACCGGAAAATAAGAGAGTGGTATATAAATTGCAGCGAACACGCTAAGTTGCATTGCCGCTTACAAAATGCTAGGCTTCACTTATTCTATATTATATATACACAATCTCTCATCGATTATAAAAAGGATAAATTTAATTTTGCGACTTACTTCCTACGTATGGTATTATTAAACAAAAGTTTTTGTCGTGACTTTCATAGAAAAATATCACAACTTTGCCACTTAACGGGCTCATAGGATTACTTCTAAATACAGAGCAAATTTTCACTTAGATATAAAGTTTACTTTCAAAAAGAAAACACATTTGTACATCTCATGACAAAAATTCAACAGCATTCCACTAAGTCTTAATTGTTAGCAGCGAGCGCCGCAATGTACATCGGACCGCTTTGTTTAAAACTTATAACATTGTAAAAAATTGAAAATCTGCATTGGATTCGACTTAATTACGGTTTGTTGTCATTTATTAAATTAACTGCACCCGTTTTAGGTGGGAGCGTCGTCGGCCCCGCGTGTTCCCAACCGGCCGCCGCGACGCTGGGCCGCGGACTCGGCGCACCCTTGTATTAGTCCATTTTACTATTAATTCATTACTATCTGGCAATTTGCGGGCTAAAATTCGACTATTAAAACTTAAAATGGCAACACGTTTATATCTTATGAAGTTTGAGAATGTCTCAAAACGTCGCATATCGCGGTGTATTAGTCATTGTGAAGGAACGCTTTCAATCGTCCAATACAAGGGTGCACCAGAGGGTGCGTTGGGGCGAGGCGAGGCCGCGCCAGTCCGGGCGTCACGTGCACTAACACTTCACTGTGACATTGTCCTTATAGAGGCACGGAGCGTATTACGCATCCTCTTCTTCCTCTTCCCCTAATAATTCTTCCTCAACCTCTTCATCTGCAACAATACAATAAATAATATTAATAACAGTAATAAGCTACATTTTTGTTCTGAAATTTATCATTTAACTTTGACATAGATAAAAGAAGTAAAAGATATTTTACCTTCGATATCGTCTTCTTCACCCTCTTCCAAATCTTCTTCATCTTCCTCACCTTCGTCTACTTCCTCGTCATCGTCCTCTTCCCCTTCGCCTTCTCCTTCCAAATCGTCCTCTTCACTGTGTGCTTCTTCGTCACCGCCGCCATTTTCTTCTTTTCGCGCCTTTTTTGCTTCCGTCGCTTTGTCCTTTTGAAATGAAAAAAAAACAAGGTTATTTTGGCGGGAATTGTTCCTTAAAAAGTATTGTACAAAACTGCATTTTTACTAGTACGAGTGGATCAAACAAGTGAGAACTGGCTATCGGCCAATTGTTGAATTCTACAATCTGCACGAACTAAAATCGACCGATAGAGTATGTGAATTTTATGCATTTTCAAAAGATAATGAATAGCAGGTGATAACTATTTGTAATGTACGAATAAAATAGCGTGGGTTACATTCATGTGCGGGAAAGAGAAAGGCGAAGTGCGGTACCGGTGGCATACGGCTGAAAATGCTGTGGCACATTTTAACGGAAGGCGAAGCCATGACGCCACAACAGACAAACGCTATGGCTTAGAACACCAACTCATTACAAGCATGGCAATTAAAATTTTAAAAGCATGCTTTTTATAAAAATGTGATGTTTTAAAGCTGTGTTCATTTTAAAATATCACACGCGCGATACATTTGTGTCGTCGTGTTTTGAATTTAGGTTACATTGCGCGAGAGAGACAAAAGATATGCTATAGCTCTTGAAGAGAATTTTTAAATTCCCGCCTATTTTTTGTAGTAAATACATTTCAATATTGATTACTTAAAGTTTCCAACGCTTAAAACAAAGGAAGTCTGAACTACTATAACACTCAAAACACCTACATGCAAATACGCCGGGTCATTGACTACATTTCGTGTAACGATAAGCAAAATAAATGCACAATTGTGCGACCTGTGTAATTTTATTGTAGTTACCACTAGTATAATTAGTAGTCTTAGTGCTGCTAGGAAATAATAAGTAACTAAATGATATCAACTATGCTACATAAGACAACACACACTGACATTCGCCGGCCATGTTTCCATTTAGCGTCACGCTACACGACCGTAAATCGAAGTGCGAAAATTAGTCAAAAATAGCAGCAAACCACAAGTTATAAGATTCAAACAAGCTCATTAATTGTGATAGATACAAGACGCGTTTAATTTTTGTTTGTAATTATAACCAAATCATTGAGGGCAAGCGTACGTTCCCGCGCCATATTTTTTTTCTGCCAAGGTCATGCCTTCGTAAAACGGGTAAACAAAGCTGAAAACCTCCAAAAGATTGATAAATCGATATTACAAGTATTATACTTTGAGCATATTAAATAGATCTAACATTAATACTGAGTCATCGATTAGCTCACATACTAAAATATGTATCAAGTCAGAAATGACATCCAAAAATACGCCGGCCCTCAATGTTTTAACACTCCTACAAAGTACTTTTAGTAACCACGTGGGACTTTAATTATAGTTTTTAAATTTGACCGTATTAACTTTACCCTATATTGCAAGCGTTCAATAAAATGGCGAGCGGATAAAATGAATACATTTAGCTTGACATGTGCACTCACCTCTGCTGCCCTTTTGGCTCCTTTTAGATCACTTTTCGCATCCCCAGTTTTCTCGTCTCCGACCTTGTCAACGGCCACTTCACTGTTATTTTCATTGGTGCTCATGATTGTTCTGATTTTTGTTAATTACTAGAAATAAAACGCTAGGTATATGGTTACTCCAACCCGACGCACGACTGACTGATCGAGTGAGCGGGCGGGCGCGATGGAGATGAGTTTGAAAACGAAGATGGCGCGGGCTTGTACACGCTGGCCTCCTGATTGGTCAGAACCGTTCGCCATTAACAAGCCTAACTAGCATGTGGGTAATTTTTTTTAGATCGCATTTTCGTAATAACATTACTTAAACTGTCTCAATTGCTGGTAACTTATGTTAAAACCTATAGAGATTTGTTTAATATTGCATTAATTGCATTTCGCCTCATATTTATTAAATTAAACGAGAAAATAATAATCAATAACCGCCATTAGTGTCGAATAATAACACTACGCGGCGCTTGCATCAATGGATTTTTAATAGCGGGAAACTTCAATGACACTCAAAAGAACATGGCAGGTATTTTTGCTTTAAACATTTTTCGAATGTCACCGAGTTTTTATTCTCACATTGTCATATTCAAGGAAGTTAAAATTTCATTAATATCTGAAGAACTACTCATTTAGGTAAAGACCATGACTATATTTAGTTATAACAAAAATCATGTGAATTAGTCGCGTTTAAAACTATGTTAAATAAAAATACAAGAAATAATAAATCGTATCCTTTATTTACATAATTGAGACTAACTTACGAATGTTTATGGATGATGCAATCTCACATATTTTAGTACAAATCTAAAAACGAAAGAAAAAAGGACGTGTCTAGTACATATTCTAGCAAGTTGAGGAACTACTTTATATTAAAAACAATGTAAGCTAAAAGATTTTTGTGATTAATATACTTGTTTCACAATTAGTTTTTTAGGAAAGTTCTATAAATCTAAAACATTTTACATCGGTGTATCATAAATTTGGAATATATGAATTGTTTTATACTTACGTAATAAAGGACCTGTCCCACCACTGGCTGATAGACGCTCAGATAGCTTAAAAATGACGTCAATTTCAGATAAAGTAACAAAATACGATATTCCCATCAAATACTTTACACGTTTGATTGTTATTAAACAATTTACAATTTGGTGGGACACTCCAAAAATCTTTTAAAATACCGATACACATGTTTAATACTAAAAGCAAAACACAAATATTAGAGTATTTCACTAAATAAGCATTTTCTAATTGAATATTTTAATGTATACGATAAAGACAATTTTCGTTTTACCAAATGACATCTAGACATGAACGCAGTTTTTTTTTCTTTTTATATCAATTTTTATTGGTAATTTTGAAATTGTATGTAAACGTGTAGCGGGTACACAATCTAAACTACTATAATAAAACACAAGATATATCACAGGCATAAAATATAAAAAACAAAACATTCCTTTAATGTTTTAAAAAGTAACAATGGAATACAGCGAGTGAATAACATATTTGTAGATTTGATAAGAAACGGTCAGATTTAATGTAAGTCAGGTCTACATTATGCCAGTATTTGCCCACACCGGCATAAACATCGCATACTGGCTTAACCATCGTGCCAGTGTGTCCACACTACGTGCCAGGCCAGCGCTACTATCTATTTTACTGCTCATATGTAAACCATGCATAAAACGAGATGTTTCTACGCATATTTTGTATGAAAGATGAGATTTAAAGAAATAAAAAAGCTTAAATCAGTTTTTATATGTGATGATAATAAAATTACACGAAAAACATAGAAACAACAATATTTTTTGGTTACACAATACCAATTTTGTCAATGTTATTCTGCTAACACATTTGCAATGGTTTCTTGCTCGACTTTACTCTTTTTCGTAGATTTGACAGTGGCGTTGTCGCTTTTAGTTCTGTCAAACTGTCAGAAAAGTCGTGACAAGGTGAGATCTTTAGTTCTTGGCACTACATTGTCAAATATATTCGAATTCAATTGAAATAACAAATTATATGGATACATTTCTCCAGTTCATAATATCATTATATTATAGTTTAATTTGATGATACAAATATGTCTGCGTTAAAATTGATTGCTTTGTTATAATTTATTATTTCTGTTGCATTCGACTATACAGTTACTGTCGAAATGTTATGGACACTAAGGGGGTCCCATAAGCAAAGTAACAAAGCCTCTTAAGAATAATAGTAAATATGATACAATTGTGTTAGCAAATTTAAAAGGCTATGTACTAGAGCTGTATAGAAACAGTGTGAGAATGTTCAAGATCATTCTACAACATTCTAATGTTCCAGTTAATTCTTCAACACTAGAATCTTCCAGGTAATTCTACAACGTTCTAGAATGTTCTAGATAATTCTACAACATTCTAGAATGTTCCAGATAATTCTTCAACATTAGAATCTTCCAGGTAATTCTACAACGTTCTAGAATGTCCCAGATAATTCTACAATATTCTAGAATGTTCCACGTAATTCTTCAACACTAGAATCTTCCAGGTAATATCTACAACGTTCTAGAATGTTCCAGATAATTTTACAACATTCTAGAATGTTCTAGATAATTTTACAACGTTCTAGAATGTTCCAGATGACTCTACAACATTGTAGAATGTCGTAGCTCGTACAATGTTTGAGAGTGTTCTAGAAGGCGCTGCAGGCGTTGCCGTCGAAGTCGAGGTTCCTGCCGAGCGCGTGCGGGTTGTCCTCGCGCCACGCGCTGTATATCGCAGGGAGGAAGTCGTTGAACAGCGGACTGCGGACTGTAACGCTGTTCTCGCGTACCACCTGGAATGTTTCACAAAAATCAGGGTAAGCAGAGACGGATTCTTTGATAAACTAAAACTAAAAAAACCATGTTAATATAGCGCTCGTTTGCACTTTCGGCGCCGCAAATTATATAATCTATATTTGAGCTACTTTCTCGTCAAATTCCAACAAGTTTTTTCAGAGATTACACAGAATAACTTAATCTAATTTGACGCGAACTTGAGAACGGACAGACACACACATGTAAAAAATGTTTTTTTATTTATTTATTTCGTTATTGTAAATAAACCATGTTCGTGATTTATTTATTCTTTCCATATTACATACAGACGCCAATTTTATTTAGATTAAAGATGTTAGTAAACATTATTTTCAGTTACTATGGAAATTGTTGTATCATAAAAATATTCAAGCTGTAGTATTATTTGATGATACCTTCTCCATGCCCTCATAGTCAGGGTCAGTCTGCCGTGTGGGCACCCAGATCTTGACGTCCTTATCGAGACCGCTAGTGGCCAGCACGGGGAAGCGCGGGTGCCCCTCTATGGAGTTCACCTGCACAGAACATACATAAATGCAGATACAAAACAAGTCAATAGAAAAAAAATAGACAAGTAATTTTTATCTACAGCAAAATCCTAGTTTCAGATGAAAGTTGTGAAAGGACTATCATTCCAACGTTCGTCGAATTACGTCGAATTACGTTACTATTGACAAACAAAATTACAAGGCATTTCAATGTCTATTTTTGTGAGCTATGTATATTTTTATTGTAAATTTTAAACAAAATACAGTATTTATAGTCTTATGAGACTACATTCAAATAACAAGATAAAGTATAATTATATAATATTGGTCACGATTTCATTTGTGTGGAATAAAAAAAAATGTATGTGTTACGCCGTAATAACGTAACTTTTTAAGGGTGAAAGAATTTTTGACATCTGCCTAGTACTTTTTGAGTTATTTCAATACAGACAAAAATTCAAATCCTTCCTCTTCATCTATACTATTATTGTGAAGGGAAATTAGAAGTATTAAGTTAAGAATTAAGTTAGAAAGGGCATTAATCTGTAAGTAACATAGGTCATAATTTTAATTATTTTTTAATTTCACGCGGGTCAAGTTAGGAGCAACTGCTAGTACTAATTTAAAGAGGAAAGTTTTTTGTACGTATTGAACTAACTCAAAAACTACTGGGGCGATTGCAAAAATTCTTTCACCAAAAAGCTACATTATCAGTGAGTAACATAGGCTTCAATTTCACGCGGGCCAAGTTATGAGCAACAGCTAGTTCTAATATAAAGAGAAGATTTTTGTACGTATTGAAATAACTCAAAATATAATGGGGCAATTTCAATTTTTTTTTCATTATTTCTTAAATTCAGCTATTAATAGTCTAGATACTGACGACTCCACTGTCGTCGGCCTGCAGCCACTGCACGATGGCCTCGCTGTCGGCGTCCCAGATGTAGAGGTAGCTGCAGTCGGAGCCCGACACCACGTACTGGCTGCGCGGCCCGAAGAACGACACGCCCTTGAAGGTGGCGCTGTTGCGGTGCCCCGTGTAGCGCCGCCGGTACCCCACCGCGTCCTCCGCAGACATGTCGCTGCCGAACACATGCACTTCAAACTTATCATCATTATCACCCTATACGTCCCTTCTAAAGGGCTCGGCTTTTTTATCTATACTATTATAATAAAGCGTAAACACACACTTCTTTGTTGCCTAACATCTCAGCAATAATAGCATATTTTTGAATAATTCTTTTTTTAATAAAAAGCCCTACACTAACGTCACGCTTTAGGCTATATATTTTCACGCCATTAAACTTAGGGGGTAAATATTTCGGATGAAAACCTTAATGTGGGAAAGAGACTATAAGTTGCTGCCAACATCAAGAAAGAAAGATTGCTAAGGTTTGTCATGTCATGTCGTTATTTTGACATTTGTTATTGATAATTTGACAAATGTTAACAATAAAATAAAATTTTCGTAATTTCACGCGGATGAAGGCGCACGGGAACAGCTAGTCTATACATATAACAAAATCGGAGTGTCTGTAACATCAAAATAAAAATTCCAGATTTTGATATGATGTTTTTGCGTTGTTGATAACGAAAACTACATTTAATTTTTTTTGTCTGTCTGTCCGCAAGCCGCATTTATTCCGAGTCTCCGAAACCTATGGGCCGATTTTGACCGGACTTTCACTGACATAGACGGGTACATTATAGGCTACTTTTTTTTCTTAATCTTGAGCGGACAAAGCGTAGGGCAACAGTTAGTATTAGTATAGAAGTATAGATAGATTCCGTCATAATATATAACCAACCTGCCCTCGATGTATTCATCTTTTTTGGTATCAATGAGGTATATGTCCTCGTCATTGTATGTCCCCAATATCTTGGTGCCGTCGTGGTTATATATCGCGCAGGTGAGGTGCTTATTCAGCGGCTGTTGTCGCTTCTTGTTGTTTATCTGTAACATATAAACAATATTGTTAAATACCAGAAAGTATACATTGTGTGGTGTTTTTACAATTTCAAATAACTTAAAGTGACTCAGTGAGACAGCTTTGACTATGGCCTAGTTGCCCCAATGCTTGGTTTACATCTGGCCAGTAATGATTAATAATAGGATTAACATTCAACTGCAATAATGTTAACAATAACAGGAACCAGTGAGACCATATGTTATATGACTGCTGTGGTTGTGTATGGTGCTGTGCTTGTTTGTAATGTGGTTGTATGAGGTGCGATGGTGCAGCTGTGTACGGTGTATGGTATGTGTGGTGTGATTGTGCGAGGTATAGTTCTGTAAGGTGTGATTGTGCGCGGTGTGGTTGAATGTGGTGTGGATGTGTGGGTGTGGTTGTATGTGTTATTATTTTTTTTTAAACTCTATGGACTTTTTTTATTGTTGTCGTTGTATGTGGTGTGGTTGTGTGAAGTGTGGTTGTGTGTGGTGTAGTCGTGTGTGGTGTGGTTGTGTGCGGTGTTCACCATGGCGATGTGGAAGGGGCAGTAGGAGGCGGCGGGCGCACTGGGGCGGCGGCGGTCGTACACGTGCATGTAGCGGTCGCGACCCGACACCAGCAATTTGTTGCCGGTGCAGTCCACGTCCACGCTGTACAGCGGCACTGTCAGCCCGTCGTGGCGCACGTGCACCAATCTGCACATTCACAATTTATTTGTTTTAGTAACTGGAATTTGCCAAAATAGCGAAGTTCTCGTTTACCATAGAAATCGGCATTTGTAGATGTGAACGACACACAAAAAGAGGATATTTTTCCTACCAATGCATCCCCTTATATCCTTTACTTGTATAAAAATAGTGGAAAAGACTAAAATTAGGCCTTCAGCCTGCACTTATCAGACGAAACAGGGATATGCTCCCACTTGACGCCTGTTTTT